TAGATAGATAGATAGATAGATAGATAGATAGATAGATAGATAGATAGATAGATAGATAGATAGATAGATGTGTGTGTGTGTGTGTGTGTGTGTGTGTATCCATCTGTATGTATGTATGTATGTATATCCCTATATATATAGGGATATATAAATATTCTTCCATTGATTCTCCATCTGTATGTATGTATGTATGTATATCCCTATATATATAGGGATATATAAATATTCTTCCATTGATTCTCCATCTGTATGTATGTATGTATGTATGTATGTATGTATATCCCTATATATATAGGGATATATAAATATTCTTCCATTGATTCTCCATCTAGTTGAGGGATTAGGACATTTTTCCTGGAAAAATAAAACAGGACTTTTGTTTTTGAATGATTTATTTCAAGGGATACCTCTATTCCAATAGTCCAATAACACCATGAGGCATCAGTGCTACCCTGTTTAGATGTTGACAGAATGGCTGCCTCATCCACACGAGGAAGAATAGATAATAAGGAACAAGTATTTACCTTTGCTTGACCCCTATACAGGTAGGAATAGGCTCTGTTAGGTCTCCATTGCTATTATTCTTGACTTGTATGATAATAATTTCTACATTTAATTCTGACATAATGTTATAATTTCTACATTTCAGAATCTTATTAGCCCAGCCCTAAAGTATATTATATTTCTTCTACCTTCACTCTCATTCCAATCCACTAAAAGATCCAAATCCTTTTATGATAAAGTATGTCCTTTTGCCCATGTAGTGCAAGCATATAAGGTTTCCAAATAAGTTAAGGATTCCAACTCCCATGATTTTTTTTTTTACTTGCAAAAAAATAAAAATAAAATAAAAGGCAATTAAAGAAGAGTTTAGTTTAGTTTAGTTTAGTTTAGTTTAGTTTAGTTTAGTTTAGTTTAGTTTAGTTTAGTTTAGTTTAGTTTAGTTTAGTTTAGTTTAGATTTTCACTGGAGTCCTGCTCAAGGATCTAGCAGGCTGTGACAGACAAAGACCATCATTTATTTGAGCATCTTGTCTCTAAATCTACACTAGAGTAAACCCCAGTAACAATAATAACTTAATTCTTCTTGATACTTGAGACAGTTTGAGGTCTGTTTACATCTTTTTAAAACAGTACTTCCCATATTCAGTCATTAGATGACTCTTTTCCAGAGTGACTGGCAGTATCTTCTTTCTGAGATTTAAAAGTTATTTGTTCATTAAATAAACAACAAAACTCCTGGCACAGATCTAATTCCACCTGAATGTTGAAAAGCTAAATCCAACATGGTAAGCACTGGTGTTAACCTCTCTTTTTTCACTACCATAAATAATTCTATGTGTGCCCAGAGAATGGCTTGATTCTATCACTCTCCCAGTATATAAAAAGGAGATAGGCATGACTTTGCTTATTATCATCCAATCAGTCTTCTTTCAGTAATTAGCAAACTGCATGCCAGTTTTTTATATCATAAACCTTTGGACTGTCTCCAGTCTGAGAATATCATAGTGCCCAAGGAGGCTAATTTCAGGCCCAAGCATTCTACAATGAACCAGTGCATAATTCTGTACCACTTAGTAGAGAAATATTATAATCTCTCAAATGGAGCCCACTATGTGGCCTTCATGGATCTAAAGGCAGCCTTTAACTCCATACTCTGAGATGAACTCTGGAGAAAATAAGCAGCATAAATTATTGATCACTGTCTCCCCCCAAAAGTTGACAATTATCTACATGATTGCTGCATTTATTTCATTATTTCTGGTGCATATTGTCAATAAAGGTATGTTCTTAATAACATTTCTTGTCTGATTTACCCTAGAGTTAAAGTTCTTTGGAAAGCAAACCTCCCCAGGGAAAGATGACAGCATAGTTTATGAACAAGAGAATTTGTCATATTAAAATGGGTCAAAGTAGTTGTTCCAAATCTACACAAGGACTTGTTTTCTACTTTCCAGGTAAGACTAAATGTACATTGTTCTTAGCATTGTTCTTATTCTTTCCATTTTTTGAATTTCTGTAGCTGGAAATGTTATTAAATTTATGTTGGCCAGATCCTTCTTTAATGTGGAATTGGATTAAATATTTGGAAATACATCAAGTTCTGCAGGAATGGAAATCAACAAGGTAGATGAAGGGAACACATTAATCAAGAATCCAACATACTTACTTGGAATTCCCAAGATTTTGACCTCTCTCTCTCTCTCTTTCGTTCTCTCTCTCCAAAAATAACTCCTGCATAAAAAAGGGAAATCTGATGCTTTTTTTCCCCCTTGTAGACAAATAATACCTAAATTCTGAATGAAAAAGATAAAAGCAAAATAATTAATACTTTCAGTTTGGAAGACTGAGAAAGAAATATTGAGTCACAGTTATGGCAGTTATTTTAACAGAATCCCTATCAGATTTTGCCAGATTGTCACACAGGAAAAAATTGACAGAATTCAAAAACTTAATTAAAATAATCTTTGAACTGACTTCCTGACTTCATAACTTTCCAGAAAATATTTACCTGCCATTTTTCTGAACATAAGGAAATAAGGAAATGTTACTTAATTGTTTCAAATCATTGCAGGGATAATTCATATCCACATTTTCACAGGTTCTCCTCCCCCCAAAGATTTTAATTCAAGTGACTGTGGACTTGAAGACATTTAACTGACCATTGCATATAACTGGCATAGTTCTGAAATTGGGAAACAATCTCCATATGAAACTCTACTGCAAATATTGAGCTGCAGATGTTGTAAACTAATATATATATATTAGAGAGAATATGTAACAATTCTTCCTAATAGTTCATTAGGAATCCACGCCTATCACATTTTACATTTTTGTTTATGTCAGACCATCTCGAAGTGACAGTATGAGCATAAACAAAGCATTAGTCATTTTCTCTGGCATCCTGACACCCTTTTTGAACCCTTTCATGGCAGGCTGTTTCAAAATTTTCATTATTTGTTTTCTTCAGATACTTTACCATGGAAGCAGAGAATATGACCACTGTCACAGAAATCCTTTTGCTTGGATTTGTCTTTGAACCAATTTTGGAAATCATCCTCTTTCTGCTTTTCCTCCTTATTTATCTAGTGACAGTGCTCGGGAATGCACTTATAATTGTACTGATTTGCATTGATCACCGTCTCCAAACCCCAATGTATTTCTTCCTCAGCAATCTGTCTGCCATTGAGATATTCATGACAACTTCTGTGGTGCCGAAAATGCTGGCCAATCTTCTGTCTGAAACAAAAACTATTTCCTTTGCTGGCTGCTTCACTCAATCATATTTCTATTTTTTCATGGGTTCTACAGAGTTCATCCTTTTTGCTGCCATGTCCTTTGACCGCTACATGGCCATCTGCTATCCCCTGAGGTACCCCATCCTCATGACTGGGAAAGTTTGCGTTAAGATAGTGATTGGATCTTGGATCGGTGGGTTCTTCTCAGTGATCTTGTCTACTGTGTTAAAAGCCAGGCTAACGTACTGTAGACATAATGTTATTAATCACTTTTTCTGTGATAGTGCCCCCTTATTGCATCTTGCCTGCCAGGATATAACCCTTATTGAGCTGGTGGACTTCCTGGCATCTTTGATTCTACTGCTTGGCTCTCTCTCATTCACTGCTACATCTTACGTCTACATAATCAGCACCATTGCCAAGATTCCATCTGCAGAGGGCAGGAAGAAGGCCTTTGGTACCTGTGCCTCACATTTCACCGTTGTCTCCATGGGCTATGGAATCTCCATTTTTGTTTATGTCAGACCATCTCAGAGTGACAGTATGAGCATAAACAAAGCATTAGCCATTTTCTCTGGCATCCTGACACCCTTCTTGAACCCTTTCATCTTTAGTCTAAGGAATGAGCAGATGAAAGAGGTGCTGAGAGATGTTCTAAAGAAAATGTCTTTTAAAATAAAATAAAGCCAAGTTATTACTCCAAAATTCATGGTATAAATAACACCATTTCATATTATGATGGCCACTGATTTCATTGCACATGTGGAAAGGAGAGAGTGTTGTCAGTTATAGCACCTGGCAGTAGAATGTACCACATGGAAGCCCTCCTCTCTCACATCACCTGTTTTCAGTAGCAAGAAAAGTCCTTTTCTTTTCCTGACCCTTCTGATTCATGACTAACCAACCCTTTCTGGAAAACTAAATTCTCCATCTGAACACTTCTCATAAAAGACCAAGTGTGGGCTCACTTGATTTAGCTTTCTACTTCAAAGCTTCATTGAACTGAAGTACCATTTTTGAAACTCTGCACAGGCCTTTCACAAACTTAGTCCATACCTAAACCCTTACCAGCCCTGTCTAGAAAATAAAATGTTCCATTTTGGCACCTCAGATCAAAATATCAGAATGGGCTGACTCAATGTGCTTTGCTGCTTTGTCTGAAAAGGGAATCCTATACTTCCAGACTATTTTGTTTCAACATATGGATTCAAGCAGAGTTGCTGCTCTGATTCAGAACCTCTATGGGTAGGTGTTTCTATATAGCACTTTGTTTTGAAGGATCACTTTGATCAAAGTTTGATTGTCTCAAAGCATCTATTTGAAACTCCACATAGTCCTTTCATAAACGTAGTCCACTCTTCCAATGATAATTGTACCTTGATCTAATCCCACAGAAATTGATAGATATGACATGTATTCATGTTAAGTGGCTTTCTATAATGAAATGGAGCAAAACATGTGTAGTACAGTTTCTGCAGTACTATTTTAGAGAAAATTCCAAAACATACATGGTATCCTAAATACCTTCTCTAAATGTAATAATTAATGAAAAAAGAGCAACTATGAAAAAAACAGAATTTTATGTCATGAAAAAACTTGACATATTTATCTTGCCTTGGCTTTATATTATACAGATGTAATATACCAATTACATATACTGTAAATTGTATATATTCTGTGTGACATTGTTGCTATAATTAATTAAAAGTTATTTCCTTTAAATAAATTAATATCATATATGTGATCTGTAATATTCCTACATTTCTATTCAGAAAGAACTACTTTATGTGATTTTTATGCTGCACTTTTAAAATACTTTATTTGATTGTGATAGAAAGACATTTAATTTCTGAAGAGAAAGAAAGAAAGAAAGAAAGAAAGAAAGAAAGAAAGAAAGAAAGAAAGAAAGAAAGAAAGAAAGAAAGAAAGAAAACAAAAAGTAAATCCTACAGACTTATTTTATCAAATATCATTTTCATTCCCCTTCTTTCCAATTTGTCAATATTCATGTTAATAATTTCTACTTATTTTTGTACTAACATACTGTACAAAATAAACATGCTTTTCTCTGGTAAATTTAGGACTGGAAGATTGAGAAGCTGCAAAATACCTTGTGTGATTAAGGGCCCATATTTTCTACTGCAGTGACCATGACATATTTTCCTTTTCTACTGTACATCTGATAACCCTCAATATTCAAAGAAGCATTATGGAGTTTCATGAGGATTGTTGCTTTTGAAAAATATAGCTATAAAGTGATTTACTTCAAAATGCGACACTACATTTGGACTGCTTTCATACCCTGTGTTTTCTGCTCTGTTCTGCTACCAGTCCTATTCAAAAAGAATCTTTGATAGATGTATGAAACAGGGTAGAATTTATTTTGAGTAGTAAAACCTTGAAATATTTAAAAAAGAGAACTAATCTAGAAATAATTGTTATTCTTAATACATATTTTCTTAATCTCACATTAAAAAAAATGATTGTGATTAGTTGAATATTTTGTTTATAGATTAATAGTGGAAAGAAATGTGGAGTCCTTGGTATTCTCTGAGCTTGGTTGTTTTCTTGCAGATATCAAACAACCAAGCTCAGAGAACACCAAGGACTCCACAGTTCAACCCCGAGCTACATATATTCTCTTCTATAGGAAGGAAGGAAGGAAGGAAGGAAGGAAGGAAGGAAGGAAGGAAGGAAGGAAGG